CCTCAGGGGGGAGGAGGTCACAGAGGCCGCAGGAGGAGGCAAGGTCGGCGTGGCAGGGACCTAGGCATCCTTCGCAGGTGTCGTGCTGGTCGAAGCTCAGCATGTAGCCGGTCTTGTAGGACGGGCACAGGCAGATGGTGTTGGTGCTGGACATTGCGTTGTTGGAAGAGCAGTGCTAGTTGCTTGCTGAAGAAAAAATGGGAGTTGATTACCCGCTCTCACTGTAATTTATACGGACCGGGTGGGGCTGACAGTTGGGCGTGGACTAAATTTTTGAGTGCGACGCTTTGCGTGACGGGATAAAACCCACAAGCGACAGCCTTAAAGGGCGAAGCCTATACGAAATAGACCAAGAGTTAGGTTTAGAAAAACCAGAGTATCTTTATATTACAGTTCAATCATTAGAATATTGTCCAAATAAAAAAGGGTAACTGACACAGCCTAATATTGCCCACTTCTAAAAGGTGATAATTTGTTTCCTTGTGCATCTGTGTGGGTGTGTTTGTTAGCAAATAATGTCAAAGCTGGACAGACTTTAAGAAAGTAAACAAAGGATGTACTTCTACAACTAATTCCTAACCCAGTTCAAGATGGCTGCCACAGACAACTGACATTAGCAACACAAACATGACTGTAACTCATTCAGTTTTACAGGTAACTATTATGATTGTATCCAAAAAAGTTCAATCTGGTCCTCTGGACATTCAAAAAAAACAAAAAACAAAACAAAGCAAAAAAAAAAAAAAAAATGTAGATACGTTTCGTCTTTCATCTGAAAGACTTCCTCAGTCTGAGGTGCTGTATTCAGCTCAGTCTCTAAATAGCACCTTTTCAGAGTGGATCAACCAGTTTGCTGCTGACAACAAAAACCAGCTGCTCACATGGTCAAGAAGGACCATCAGCCTAACAATGGATCATTAGCACACTGATGGCTGTTTACTATTCACAGGGGGCTGAGTGATACTAGCAATAACAGCATTGTAAGAGGAGGACAGTTGAACACGGAAGCCTCCACCCCTGTTTAATGATGGACGATTTCTTTTCACAAAGATGGCCTCCTTTACTCCTCTCTCAAACCATCGTTCCTTTCTGTCCAGGATGTGAACATCTTCATCCCTGAAAGAGTGACTGCTGTCCTGGAGATGAGTGTAGACCGCAGAATCCTGGCCTGATGATGTTGATCTTCTGTGCTGGGCCATCCTTTTGGCCAGTGGCTGTTTAGTTTCCCCTATGTAAGACTGATCACAGTCCTCCTGACACTGAACAGCATACACAACATTACTCTGTTTGTGCCGGGGGACTGGATCTTTGGGATGAACCAGTCTTTGCCGTAATGTATTTTGGGGTTTAAAAGCCACTGGGACGTTATGTTTAGAAAATAAACATCTCAATTTCTGATACTCCCTCAACATACGGCATGACCACTGGTCTGGGTCTGGGTCTGGGTTCCTCCTTTTCACCTGATGGCTGACTGGAATCCTGTTTGGGTTTCTTTTCTGCTTTCAGAAAGGCCCAGTTAGGATATCCACATTGCTCTAGAGCCTGTCTTGTGTGGGATTTCTCCTTCTGCCTGGCTCCTGAGTTAGTGGGGACGCTGTCTGCTCTGTGATACAGAGTCCTGATGAGTCCTGATAACCATGTAAAGGAAAATGAAAAACAGTTAAAATATTATAAATGTAATGGTCAGCAGCCCCCTGCTGACCCCTCATCTACACACGTCACTGCTCCTCTTGCTATGTTTCTGCCCATCTTGCCATAATCCTGCCTTCATGCTCTTTGTTCTCCTGCCCATGTCACCTGCCATAGTTTCTGCCCCTCATGTCATTGTTTGTTTTTCCCTGATGTGTTTTGCCTATCACCCATCCTCCTGCTCAAGCCTACTCCTTCCAAGCCACGCCTCCCTTTTCTCACAGCAATCAGTCCTGATTCCACTCACCTGTTCAGCTCATCTATTTCACCTGCTCTGCACCCTTTATAAGCTCCATTCTCACTCTCCACCAGTGCCGAATTATCATACCTTCCATGGTCCCTGATATCCAGCCATCTTGTTCTTGTTCATGCCCTATATTTGGATTTTCGACCTCACACCTTGTCTTGTGGATTTATGCTTTTGCCTGCTCCTCGTCTGGTTCTGCTCTGTCCTTCTGATCACGGTAATGACCTCCTCCTTTGCCTCTATGACCACTATTCACGGATCACCCTTTTTGGATCAATTATTGGACCCTGACTCCAGCAACCAGCAGCCTAATTAATAAAAACTGTTCTTGTTTTTGCACTCCTGTGTCTGGCTTATTAAGAATCCAAAAACCTGTTCGTGACAATAAAATATAATTTTCACCAGCCGTTATGATTTTTTGGGGGTATTTGAGTTGTTTACTGGTGACAGTTTTCCTCTTTAGATGAGTTGTTAGCTCATCAGTCTGTTTCTCCAAACTGAGGTTGTTCAAAGAGTTCTCTACAACAGGTAAGATGCTCATTGTTTATAAACTGTCAGCATAACCCCACTTCTTAATGTCTGAACTGTCTCTTTTAGTTTTAAGCTTTAAAAGAATCATGGAACATAAAATATGAAAACAAAATTTGACAGAGCTAAAGTCATTTTTGTGTTGGTAGTCTTCTTGCAATGAGTTAAACAGTTGTAGACGTATAACCAGTGATCAATTTCTGAGTTTCATTAAGCTCTGTCCAGTGGTTCATGAGATATTTTACCAGCACAAAGATCATTGAATCCTAAATGTAATGTATATTAAATCAGTATTTAATATACATTCAATGATTATTTCCTAAAAGTGTTATGTGTCCAGTGGTTCATGAAATATTTTGCTAACAGACAGAAACAGACACAAACATTATCAGTCATTCTTTTCCTTTTGGCAATATAACTAAAGTCAGAAAGAATTGAGGATAAAAGTAAATAGTGTATCTGCCTCTCAGTATTTTAAAGGCAATAAATCCATTACATTTTCAAAATCTGTGTAACAATACACAGAGAAGTTATTAAATGTGCAAAGGTCATTACTGTTAAACCTGCAGAAAAGCTCTAAATTAGGATTCTTTTTAGTTGAACTCTATGTGTTTACAGTTTTGATGTCCTGTAAGCAGCGCGAACAGCTGCAGGGGTTCAGGGCGACAGCTGAGACACCAGACAAAGACCTGTGGTGACCTTCAGGTAACGGGCCTTTTGACTCATTACTGTTCTGTTGCTTGCTCCACAGTGAGTCCTTCTGGTCCAAAAGGCTCAACAAACACTGAACCAGGGTCACATATCCTTTTAACAGGTGCTGCAAAACAGAGCACCATTCTAAATGCGGGGCCGAGATGGAGTAGAGGCATGGCAGCCGACCCAGGACCCAAAAGTCCCAGGTTCAATCCCTGCCATTCCCACATGTCATGGTGTCTCTGAGCAAGACACCCAATCCCCAATTGCTCCCTGGGCACCTACATAGCTGCCCACTGCTCCACCTGGTGTATCCCAGGTGTGATGGGTTAAATGCAGAGAACTAATTTCACCATTGTATGGAAACATACAGTGATGAAAACACAAAGCACTTACTATTAAATCTATTAGTAAAGTTACATCTACGTTCATTGTGTCATATTGATGTTTTGCTGTATTATTATTATTATTTATTTGTATTTTGTTGTAGAACCTGTTTTGCCACCTAACATCTGCACATTTTTTTGTGATTTTAACTATCAAAACATTCAGCCCAATCAAGATTAGTGAGGTATTGTCTTTGGTTTTTGTCACTTTAATTTGTTTTCTCAATATTTAACTTTAGCTAACCCCCATCCCAAATTTCTTTGAAATTTGCTTCAACATAGTTGTACTGTTTCTGTTTTTGTCTTCCAACCGTTGTGTTACATTTAGTTTACTTTTTATCTATTGTTTAGAAACTTTTTGCATTTAACCAGTTTTAGCTATTTTAGTGACAGTTTAGCTAATTTTAGCTATTGTTTTGCTATTTGTAATCCTAAGATACAGTTTTTCTCATTTAACTTTTGAGTTACAATTTTGTAATCTGTAAACAGTCTGTTTGGCTACTTTCAGCTTTTAGTAACCATTCTGCAACTCTTAGATTTTAGCAACAATTCTGCTCCTTCTAGCTTTTAGCTAATTTTTTTTTTTCCTATTTTAACTTTTAGCCACAGTTCTGACACATAATGCCTTAGCCTTTTTTTGTTTTTCCCTTTTATCTTTTAGCTACTTTAGTGCTACTTTTAGCTACCTTTCCACTTTTTAGTGTTTTTAGATATTGTTTTGATTCTAGGGATTTTTTGCTTCAGTTTTGTTGAATTTAGGCTTAGCATTTGTTGTGCTACTTTTAGCTTTTAGTTACTCTTCTGCTACTTTTGGTATTTAACTACTCTTTACCTATCCTGATGCATGCTCAATTATCCAGGTAGAAAAATCTAAAACCTTCTTGATCATGTGAGCAGCTGGTTTTGGTTGTCAGCAGCAAACTGGTTGATCCACTCTGAGAAGGTGCTATTTAGGCGACTGAGCTGAATACAGCACCTCAGACTGAGGAAGTCTTTCGGATGAAAGACAACATTTCTACATTTTTTTTTTTGGGTTGTTTTGCTTTGTTTTTTTTTATGTCCAGAGGACCAGATTTAACTTTTTTAGATACTCTTTACCAACTTTTAGCTTTTAGCTACCATTTAGCTACTTCTAGTGACAGTTTTGCAGTTTTTAGCTTTAGCATCTGTCTTTGATACTGTTTTTGTAATCCTAGCAATTTTTCTGTTTGTTTTAATTTTAATAACCCAGTTTCAGCTTCTTTAACAAATTTCAGCAGTTCTATTTTGTATAGGCTTCGCCCTTTAAGGCTGTCGCTAGTGGGTTTTATCTCGTTGCGCGCAGCACTGAAAACTTTAGTCCACGCCCACCTGCTGTGTGGGCCTTACCCCCGGTCCGTTTAAATTACAGTGAGACCGAGTAATCGGCTCCCATTTTTTTTCAGCAAGCAACCAGCACAGTTTGTTACAAGAACACAATGTCTAGCACCAGCACCATCCGCCTGTGCCCGTCCTGCAAGACCGGCTACATGCTGCGCTTCGACCGGCACAACATCTGTGAAGGATGCCTGGGTCCCCGCCATGCCGACCTCGCCTCCTCCTGCCATCTCTGTGACCTCCTCCCTCCAGAGGAGAGGCAGAGGCAAGCAGCCTTGTTCAAGGCTAACATCGAGGAGTGCCTCTCCGTGACGGGGGACTGTTCGCTGGACGACGCCATCGCCTTTTTTGACGCCAAGTCACGGAGCAAATCGGATGATTCCTCCAGAAAAGACGACTTCAGCAGCATCCCCGCTGCTCATTCCCTCATGGAGAGCGTAGTGTTAGAACACGGGGGGCCGAGAGGATGCCCCCCCCCCCTACTCCCCGGGCCTTTCCGCATCAGCGAACACACCGCTCCCAGACAGGAGGCGGCTGACACGAAGAGACTTTCCGTCCCTCTCCTCCCCTGCCCAGATCGGATGATCTAGCGGGAAGGTTTGGCTCTACCCCAGCTCGCTGCCCTGACCCCATCTGGCCTCAATTCCCAGCAGTGACGTCCTACTGGAATGAGGCTGCAGCCGGACCTGGTAAGCTGAAGGCGCCCGTCTCCACCTTCACTCCCATCACCAGAGTGGAGGGGTTTACTGAGCGGAATTTTCCCTCGGTACCCCCCTGGAGCCAAGCCTGGTGGAAGCCCTTGGAGTAAAAGTGTCCAGGTTGGACCAGCATCCTGTCCCTCCAGGGAGACACGACCAGACGGTGAAGTCGCTCTCCAATCAAGCCCACCAGTGTGCTTTCCAGGTGGCCACAGCGAACAACAATGTCGCCAGGCTGGTCCACAGCATCTCCAAAAGGCTGGAGGAAACAGACCTGCCTGAGGAGATGAGGACCTCGTTCTGCAAAGCATCTGACATCATCCTCAACCTGTGCACCTCCTCTGCTGTCTGCCTGTCTTGCATCGCCGCCTGGATGACAATGATCCAGCGGTCCACCTGGCTCTGATACTCCCCCTCCTTGCCGGAGAAACTACAGAAAGACCTGCTGGAGGGCCCCATCATGACGGACGCACTGTTCGGGTCCAATATCAAGGCCATGCTTGAAAAGTCAAAGAAGTGGAGGAGGTGTCAGAGACTGTGCGCCACCTGATGAAGCCGCACTCCTACTCCTGCCCCCCGCCCACTGAAGAGATCGTCGTGGCCAGAGGCAGCAGCAGAGACGTTCCACAGCTGCAGCAGCATCCTCCTGCCCTGCTCTGCCGCCGGCCCCTCCCGCCAGAGAACAGTCCTTCTCATCGCGGTAACCAGCGACTCAGCATTTCCCCAGAGACCGCCAACAGGCGCCACCCTGAAACAACCAGTCGCAGGCTCACGGCGGAGAAGATACAAGAAATGACTCCTTGCGGAGGATGTCTGTCAGCCCAGGCTGTGTTCTAATTTTTCTGACTGCAGCGGGAACAAACGCATTTCCCCACGGCAACTGCAATCTCCACCCAAACGATGTCACATTTCTAAAGGCGCTCACGCCTCTCCTCAGTGTGTGTCAGCTCACATCAGCTCTGATGTGAGCCCGCAGCCTGAGCGCAGCAAAGAGGCGTTCCCAGAGCTCTTTTGGCAAGGCCTCCCCATGGGTCGCTCAGAGAGCATTTCCAGAGCATATGACGTTTGTGGAGGCCTTAGCTTGGTTAACATCTGCAATGGACCTGACACAACACAAAAACGTGTGCCCGCTCCCAGAGCGTTACACAGAGTGGCAGAGAGTGTGTTCCCTGGACACATGGATGAACCGTCTTATCAGCAGAGGTTACATGCTGCAATTCGCAGCTCAACCCCCACCGTTCAGAGGGATTATAGAGATGGTTCTGTCATCTCTAGAACAGATCTCGTCTCTCCACTCAGAAGTTCAGGAATTACTGATAAAAAAATGTAATTTCCAGGGTTCCCAACGGAGAGGAAAACACAGGGTTTTACTCACGTTACTTTCTGGTTCCAAAGAGGACCGGAGGGATGAGACCCGTTTTGGACCTATCCGTATTCAACAATTCAATCATGGAGAGACAGTTCCACATGCTGACAACCAGACAGCTGTTGGACAACATTCACCAGAATGATTGGTTTACCTCCATAGATATAAAAGACGCCAATTTTCACATACCAATCATTCCAAAACACAGAAAGTTCCTGTGTTTCTCCTTCCAAGGGACCCAGTACCAGTACAACAGGCTATTCCCTCGCCCCACTCACGTTTTCGAAATGCGTGGAGATGGCTCTGCAACCGCTATACAGAGCAGGGATGAGAATCCTGTTTTATCTGGACGATCTGCTGCTGTTAACTCGATCCAGGCAGGAAGCAGCTGCGCAAACCAAAGCGCTGATGTCACACCTGTTAAACCTGGGTTTTGCCATAAACTGGGAGAAGAGTTTGGTTCTCCCGGCCCAGATGATCGTTTATCTGGGAGTGGAGCTAAACTCAATCACTATGAGAGCCCGCTTATCACAGCCAAGAGCTGAAGCTTTATAGGACCAGCTCCACCCCGTAAAACCCAGCAGATTTGTAACGGCCGTCTCTATCATGAAACTTTTGGGAACAATGTCATCAGCTCACGCTGTGGTTCCGCTGGGCTTACTCCACATGAGACGCCTTCAGAGATGGTTCGCTCGCCTGCGCATAGATCCAGTACATCAGAAGAGGTGGATGATCTCTGTGCCCCCCTCTGTGGGAACCAACCTGAATCACTAGGGAATCCCTCTCACTCTGTCAGAGGGAGTTCCTATCAGCAGACCTACGTCACATGTCTCAGTTTTCACAGACGTGTCCCTGTCAGGCTGGGGGGGAACGTGCCTGTCTCAAGCGGTGGGGGCGCTTTGGCCACCTCACACATCAGCTCATATAAACATCTTGGAATGTCTCATAGTTTGGAATGTGATTAAGCATTTTACTCCCCTATTGCGGAATCAACATGTTCTGATCCACACAAACAACAAAGTGACTGCAGCTTACATAAACCGAAAGGGGGGCGTGCGCTCAGCCCAACTGTTACGCATTGTGAGACAGCTGTTGTGTTAGGCGCAAAAAAACCTGCTCTCCATCAAAGCAGTGTACATCCCCGGCATCCTAACAGAAGAGCAGACATAATGTCCAGGGGCGGTCTGCGCCACAGGGACTGGAGTCTTCATCCCGAGCTGATTTCTCGGATTTGGAGCAGGTTAGGCAGAGCAGCAGTGGATTTGTTCGCCACATGGGAGAACGCCCAGTGTCAATTATGGTTATCACTGAGCCCACGGGACGACCCACCATTAGGAGTGGACGCTTTTGCCCACAGCCCGTGGCCAAAAATGCTCCTTTACGTGTTTCCCCCAGTCCCTCTAATATCACGGTTTCTGAAATGAGTCCGGGAGGAAGAACTGTCAGCCATTCTTGTAGCCCCCGAGCGTTTGAGCGCCCCGCGGATCCCAAACCTGCAATGTCTGTTATCGGGTTGACCGTGGAAACTGCCGTGGAGGGATGATGCTCTCCTCCAGGTGGGAGGAGCGATCAGGAGTCACCCAGAAATAGGCCAGCACCTTTGGGTCTGGCCGCTGAGTGGATCCGCTTAGAGAAGATGGGCCTCTCTCAGGAAGTGGTGCTCACAATCCAAGACTCACAAGCTGCTTCTACCACAGCACTGTACACATCAAAGTGGACAGCTTTTTAGCACTGGTGCACAGAGAAAGGTGTAGAGGCCATCTCATGTCCACTAGGTGGGGTGCTGTCCTTTCTGCAGCAGCTGATGGATGGAAATCTAGCGTTCAGCACAAATAAAACTTATGCTACAGCTACAAAGTCCATGCTCAATAATCCAGGTCAATAATCCAATCCAACATTTTTCAGTCAGGTCATCTGGACAGTTTCTTTTTTTTTTTGTGCTGAAACATTTCGCCTTCAGTCCAGAAGGCTTCATCCGTCAAGGAAACACACAACAAAACTGATTCTTCCCCCAACACTTACTCCAAAGTGGAACAAACCAGTTCTGCTTGTAATAAGATGGTCTCTTTGGTACGCCCCCTCCTCCATTGCCGGCCCTCTTCCTTGTTGACAGTCTTGTCAAACTAGTTGAAAACAACAAAATCCATGCACAATAATCCAGGTATACAATCCAAGGAGGAGGGGGCGTACCAATGAGACCATCTTATCACAAGCAGAGCTGGTTTGTTCCACTTTGGAGAAAGCTGTTGGGGGAAGAATCAGTTTTGTGTGTCTCCTTGACTGATGAAGCCTTCCAGACTGAAGGCGAAACATTTCAGCACAAAAAAAAGAAGAAATTGTCCAGATGACCTGACTGAAGAATGTTGGGTTATGCTGCTGCTATTTCCTCCTGTTATGAAGGCTTCGGTGACAGAACAGTTTTAATCATCCGCTGATGAAGTGTTTTCTAAAAGGTGTACGGAGACACAGACCAGTGTCACGACCACTAGCTCTGCAGTGGGACCTAACGATGGTTCTGCGAGCTCTGATCAAAGCTCCTTTTGAGCCTTTAGATCAGGTGTCACAAATTCCTGTCGCTTAAAACAGCCCTGCTGTTGGCTTTGACATCAGCGAAGAAAGTGAGCAATTTAGCTGCGCTCTCTGCTGCCCTGTCATGCCTCAGGATTCAGGCTGATGGCAGCTCAGCTGCTCTGAGACCTAATCCAGCTTTTATGCCCCAAAACATCACAAGTTAATTTAAATCGAGAATTATAACATTGGAGAGGTTTTATCCTCCCCCTCACAAATCAGAAGAAGAAGCATCTTTTCATCTCCTCAGTCCTGTGCGTGCACTGGCATGTTACATAACACGCACAGTTCCTCTGCGGCAGACTCAGCGTCTGTGCATTATAGGGACATCTCTGCAGGTCGCCCGTTACCCACCCAGCGTCTGTCACACTGGCTGTGTGAGGCCACTTCTGAAGCTTACAGGGCATCAGGATTGGAGCCTCCAGAGAATCTCAGAGCTCATTCCACCAGAGGAATTGCATCTTCCACAGCTCTGCATGGAGAGAGACAGTGGAGGACATTTGTACAGCGGCCACTTGGTCATGTTCATTTATCCGCTTTTATCTGCGTGATGTTTCGGCTTTTTCCATGGCCCATTCTGTTCTTAGTGTTTTAACAGAATGAATCTTATTGTTTTCATGGAACTTCGGTTTAAACTCACATCTGACTGTATGCAATTACAGTGTGAGATATTTATTATCAGTCACAAGTATTGTGACTGCTGTTTTCTATTGTTACTAATCAGTTCATGACTACTGTTACCGATCAGTTCATTTGATTATTAATCAGTTCATTTGTTGTTAATCAGTTCATATTGAAGAGCTGTTGATCTGCTCTGCTCACTGTTACACGGTTACAGTTGTAACCTTTTGATTATTTAAAACAGCTAAACAGAACCTTTACAATAATAGCACTGTCGGAGACATGGCTCAACGATGAAAACACAACTTATGTTCACATGGAAGGGTATGAATTATATCATGTGAACAGAAGCAACAAAAGAGGTGGTGGAGTGGCTCTATTTGTTAAAAATGAAATAAAATGTAAATTAATTAATGAAATGTCAATAGTTGTTGATAATATCATGGAAATAATAACAATAGAAATAATAAACAAGAATGATAAAAACATATTAATAAGTTGTGTATATCGATCTCCAGGATCAAATATAGAAATATTCACTGATAAAATGGTACAACTATTGGACAAGAGTTTTAATAAAAACATTTTTTTGTGTGGAGACTTTAATATTGACCTGGGAAATAAAACAGATTCAAATAACATCAGTACATTTACAAATTCATTGTATAGTTTAAATCTTTATCCGTTAATATCAAAACCAACAAGAATTACAACTCATAGTGCTACAATAATCGATAATATTTTCACAAATGTAACAAATGGGGATGTGATTGGAGGTATTTTAACGAGTGATTTGAGTGATCACTTACCAGTTTTCATGATTTATAAAAATGATCAAAGCATTACAAAAGAAATTACAATTAAGGAAAAAACAATAAACACATCAAAAAAAGCACTGGACAAATTAAAAGATGATTTACATAAACAAAGCTGGAAAGACGTGTATGTTGATGATGTGAACAGATCATATGATGAGTTTATGAATATTTTAGGAGCTCTGTATGAAAAGAATTGTGTGCAAAATAATTGTACAAAGAGAAATGTTGTTGACCAACCATGGATGACGAAAGGGTTGAGAAATGCTTGTAAAAAAAAGAATTATTTGTATACATGTTTCTTGAAATTGAGAACACAAGAGGCTGAAG